CAGATATCTGGCAAACCCTCAATTTAGGATAAATTTAATCAGACTCATAGCTAGGTTGCTGAAAATGGTTCATTAATATCAGATGGCCTTGTCTTTTATTTCACAAAGAAAATAAGAGCCCATCTGGCTGAATTGCCTCAAACTTTTGGTCCAATTCCATGCTTAAATAGAAAATTTTCATCATTTTCACCGGTAACTACCATCTTCCTTCACACTCAGTAAAATTTCTCCTCCTGCCCAAGAATAATCCTTGTTGTGATAGCTGTTCTTTTTCCAGTATATTCAACTTTTTTCTTGTTACTAGGTCTTTACTTTCTACCTATCAAATGCTCAAATCTCTGAGTTTTTAAGAAAAAAGAACACCTTGACCCCTTGACTGAAAGCAAGTCTAGCTATTTCACTATGTTTAAGGACAAGAATACATTTTAAATCTCTCCTCTCTGAACTAAACTTTTTCCTCGTTAGATTATTTAAGAACAAGTCTACACTTAAAATGTCTTTCTCGTATCCAAATCACTCTTTAACTCATTCGATTTGTGCCACCACCATACATACAGACCTTGAAAGGTCACCAATAATTTCTTAGCAGAGAAATTCAATTAAAAAAATTAGTCTTCTATACTGTCTCTCAAAGTCATTAAGAGCTATGGCTGCTAACCAGAAGGTCAGCAGTACGAATCTACCAGCTGCTCCTTGGAATCCCTATGGGGCAGTTCTGCTCTGTCTTATAAAGTCACTCTGAGTTGGAATCAACTCCACGGCAATGGGTTTAGTTTTGCAGGGGGCGTTAAATTGCTCTCAGTGACAAGCAATAATTACTTTTAAAAACTCTATCCTCTCTTAACTGATTTCTAAGGCTCACTCTGTGGACTTCCTCTCTGTCCCCCGGCCCATCCCCACACCCAAATATTGATAGATTTTGTCAATTCCAACTCTGGGTCTTTAACACAAGCAAATGTACTGTCACATATCTGAGCCAAATCCCGAAAAGAAAAAGAAAGAAAAATCTAATCCATCTAATAAAAGTTTGAAAAGAAGTTTAAGGTAACATCAAAAAGCATAAAAATAGAAAAGTAGATAGAAAAAATTGCTGGAATAAGATCAAGCAAGTACTACAGTGATCAGATATACTCAAATGAATACATATATTGGTTTGCCACGTGTGTTTTACAATAGGACAAATGGATAAGAGATTTGAGAGAAAATGTTTAACTCAAAGAATCATGTTTTATAGGATAGATAGGGAAATAAATAAGTGAGGTCAGGAAGGGACTTACATTCCTCTATTAAAATGTAAAATCTCTCAGATTTGGTAAAGAAAACAAATAAACCAAATTATATGCTATATACTATAGGCCTGCCCTAAAACAAAGCCATGGAGTCCCTGGTGGTACAAATGTTTAACACACTTGGCTGCTAACTGAAAGGTTGGAGGTTTAAGTGTACCCAGAGGGATCTGGAAAGAAAGGCCTGGCACTCTACTTCTGAAAATATCAGCTATTGAAAATCCTATGGAGCACATTTCTACTCTGACACACAGCTGGTTG